GAGAGAGAGAGTGAGAGAGAGAGACGCAGCCAGCTAACCAGACCGACAGACAGACAGACAGAGTGAAGGTAAACTGATACAAGACAGACAAACATGGAAGTCAGCGGATAAAATAATTAATAAGATGACAGATAAGAAGAAGGACATCGGCCTACTGTAAAATCAGTTCTGAAAACTTTAATATGTATTCCGTGGACACTGTCTGCAGCCTTGAAGTATGCTGTCAGAGGTATTCTTAGAACTGATAGAAAACTGACAATTGAAAGTTAACCTTCTCGTTATTTAGTGTCTCTACGAGGTGCCTCTCTTATATCTGAGGAAAAAGAAATCGGACTGTTAGCTTTTTGATAAATAATAATTGTTTTTATATCTGACAACTGCGTTCCTTTGCTTCTCTATTTCTGTATCATCCCAGAGCCTGACTTCACAGTTTCCCTGATTGTGGAAAACATGACCTGGGCTGCTCCGATGTCTGACGTCAATTCCGATGTCTTCACCTCTACAGCTCATGACATCGAACAAAGTGTAAGTGGCCGGTATTTTGGACCATTCTCCTCAGACCATATGCTTTTGATGCTACTGGTTCATTATTGTAGTGTCCTGCTTCTATTTTTGCTGTTTAGCGTATGCACGTTTGTTGTCAATGCCTGATGCCCGTGCGTAGGCTTTTGTTTGCATGTCAGAAAGGACGACATTCATTGGCTCTTGGACACTATCAACAGGACTGCTGGGGTAGTGCTGTCTGGTGTGTGGCTATTTATTGTTCTTGTTTGCTGCAATAGAAGAAAAAACCCCAGCAAAAAAGCAAAGTAAAAAACAAAAAGCTTTAAATTATGATTATCGCCGCCTGTCAATCAAAATTTTGTTCCCTATTATGAAAGGAAACAAGTGTTGGGTACAGTATGTGTTGAAGTGCCTGTATGTTTTTCTTTAGATAAGATCAACCCGTGTTGAACTTAAATATTGCCATAGGCTTTTTTGAAAGCTAGGCTTGCAGTATTTTCTGGGAGTGCTTGTCGTGCTAAGTCGTGGATCTTTAGTTTTATACCATCCGTCCATTAGAATAAAATGATATATAATGATAACATTCTTATCATTTTCAGGTTGACAAGTATTATGAATCTAGTCCTCTGGCTGACATCTATAACTTTTCTATGGTGACACAATTATGGTAAGACATGTATAACGAAATAAAAGAAGAAAAAAAAAAAGATGAGTTTATGTACATGGTAATAAAACGGGGTTATAATGGTATAACTTTTTAGTCATCATAAAATAGCATGATATCTATCCTAAGCAAACTTTTCATAATTTATGAAAACATACACGTCACTGGAGATTACTGCATTACAGCATGTTGTTCAATCGTTGTTGATTGCATGTTTCACATAAATGATAAACCGTTTAAAATGACTTTACTCTTCTGTATATCTGAAAACGTTCTGTTTTATCTGTTTTGCTGTACATGTGAAGATATAGTACTATACATACTTAAAATATTTCAAGAATGTCGACTTTTGTTCTGAAATTCATTGCAGATTATGAAAATTGTTGCATCTTTGATAGTATGATACTGTCCTGGACTTTCAGAGTTTATCACTGGAACAAATAAATCTTGTCTTTTGTTATCAATGCGTCTCGCTAAAGTATTTTTTTTCTCAATTCTACAGGCCTGGAAGTGTCGGATGTAATGTAGGAATCTTCCTAAAGCCGCCTTCAAATACCAGTACCGTGGAACTTCGAGATATGCATGCACAGATCAAAGCTGGGAACGGAACAGAAGTGCTTTCCCGGAACTTTCTTAAAGGAGCCGCAGATTTCTGGTCTGCACAAGCTCAACTTCCAGAAGATCAACGTTTATCTGCTCTCAACTTTAAGACCGATTTCTTTGAAAAGGTTTTGGTGAATGATACAGAACCACTTAACAATACTGTCAATACTACAAAACATATGGGTAAGTAAGTGAGAATTGTTCGGAAAGTAAGGTGAAAATGTCCACAGAACCAACAATTTTATTTACGACCTAACTAAAACTTTCACATGATTTTCTTACACTATACAACTACTTTTTTAGGTAGCCACCGTTTAAATTGGTGCATTTTCTCAACGATGCTTGAGAGAGTAGACCCCCCCCCCCACCCCACCGGCCCTTGGAAAAAAAACCGTTTAAGATCTTGGAACGAAGTTTTCACTTTGTGGATTAGGTCCTCGTCTTCGTTTATATTGTTGCTGCTTAATTTAAGTGTCTCTTGAGGGGTACAAAGAAATGGTATGCGTAAGGGACCAAATTAGGACTATGGAGAGGATGTGACAAAACCTCCCAGCCATACTTTTGGAACCAGTCTTTGATCATGTTTGCGGTATCAGTATGAGGGGTGGCATCATACTGTTCAGTGACACCTGTGATCAATCTTCCCTGACTGTCTCTTCCTTAGAACAGCCTCTCCCAGTTTGTTGCGTGTTTTACAATAGCAGGCAGCATTGGCATTTTGACCTTGTGGAAGAAAGGACATCTTTTACGTCCCAAAGTTGCCCTCAATTTTCACATGAAGTTTGCACTTTGAACTTTTTGGCTGGAGGTGATGATGGATGTGTCTATGCTAGTGAGTCCCTCCTTTGTTTCTGGTGTTATGTGATAAGCCCACGTCTCATTGCCCGCGATTATGAATTTCTAGAAAGAGCAGTGTCCCCCCCCTCCCTCACCCCCATGCGTCGTTCTATAAAAGTGTCTGGAATGCCTGCATACCTTCACTTTATGCTTTTGTGTCAGTTTTAGTCGACGGCAAAGAGGTTAATAGTATAATCTCTATGGTCGATAGGTTAACTCTATACGTTGTTTTACGTTGGGTTTTTTTCTAGATGTCATCCCTTGAGTAATTTAAAGTTTTTCTGAAATGAAGATGAAAGAACATGATTTTGATTCCTTTGTAGGTAAAACAATTAATTATCTGTTTTTCTCCAGGGATGCATACCTAGCCACCAGTAGATTTGAAATTGTGTCAATGGGACATGCAAAATAACAAATAGTTCTATTTTTCAGATGGTGAAATTATGTTGAATGAGAGAGATGAGGCTCTGATGTTCCTTACCGCCAAGTGGACTCCTGTGTGTTTTAGCTTTTCCTGGCATTTGTGGCTAGCACAAGTCGTGTGTGCTCAGCTGGGCTATTCTTTTGGAAACAGTGTCAGTGGGTAAGCACCTGTGTTAGTCATCGGGTTTTCAGATGGAATATGTTTTCACATTTAATAATGCGAACGATTAAAAAAAAAAAAAAAGAAGTTCTAAAAGTAGGCTCACCATATTACTCTTGGGACATACAGCCATACAGTTACACCCCCCCCCCCCCAACCCCACACACACATACACATACACACACACTTTTCACACATATATATATATATATATATATATATATATATATATATATATATATATATATATATAATATATGTGTATATATATTTGTGCTGCCATTCTGCTGTTACTGCTGTCTTTCAGCCATACCCCTGATCTTATGGTGGATACGATCTAACACCTAGCCTTCTCGCATACGGGCGAAAAATCTCGGAGGCCTATATATATATATAATCTATGTATATATATGTGTATATATATTTATTTTTAGAAATATAATATATACTTGTATATAAATCTTGGGGCAGGACAGATCTCTCTGACCAGATAGCTGGCGATATGTGTCTGACACTTGAACTTTAGTTTTCTTTGTGCATGATGATTTGTTTAAGGTTTTCCACCATGGAACTTCCAGTTTCATATCCCTTATCTTTTATTAGTAATTTTCATGAGAGGAAGAAAATTACACACATGTAAACAAGTAGATCTAATACCCCCCCCCCCCCCCCCCAAACAACAACCCAGATTCACATGAAGTGACAGATTTTGTGTTATGCCTAAGGCTTAGGGTTGAGTCCAATCAAAGGGTATAGAAGTTAATTGTGATTTCTTCTGTCCGACTATTCAGATCATGTTCTGACTATGCCATGATCACCACCATGGGGTCCACGCACTAACCAAATGACAGTGGATTCCTTAATCTTCTTTACACCCACCCACACACCCCCCCCCCTCCCCTTTTCCCCATTTATTTCTTTCATAAACTAGATTTTTGTTATTTTCAGGGAATACTTAAGCAGTACAGTAGTGGACAAGATTTCAGATATTCACTGTGATAACACAGCAACAGCTCTTGTCAACTGCTCCTACATCACGTCCACGCGACCTTGCCCAGCTGCTCGAATCCTATGCACAAACATTGGTGAGAAATTTGTCTCTGTGAAATCTACACACACACACGTACACACACACACACACACACGCACACACACACACACACACACACACACACACACACACACACACACACACACATACACACACACACACACACACACACACACACAATGTTATATTATGTGTATATATCATGAAATTACAAAGTTTTATCTGCTCAGTAGGTACCTAGTTTTGAGAAATTTGACGTGAAAATTTTTGAGTTTCACATGTTGAGTTTTTCCGAATGCGATTCTTTGAATATTATCTTGATAAGGACTCTAGATATTTTTACGACTTTGGTAGATTTAGAGGAAATAGAACATTTAAATTTTGTTTTTTACCTAATGATCTTAGTAACTCAAAACGGCAAAAACTGTCAGATAGAGCTTTATGATTTTCAGGTAGCGACTTGTCATGTAATTGAATTGAATTACTCGTATATAAGTGCTTTGAGTTTAGCGAGGTAATGTTATTTTATAAACTAATTTTCTTTTTTTTTAAGCAAAAACAGAGATCCGGATGAAAAAGCGAGATTCTCTTCTCTTAATGGTACTTTTCCAGCTGAAATTCTCCAATAAAGAAAAAATAACATACCAGGGAAATAACTGATATGTTCTTCTTTATTATGACTTTATGTCGTTCTTGCTCTTATTTTGGCAGATTCAGCTGTTTTGTTCAACTACTGGTATAAAATGTTTAAAGGGTATTAATCGACTAGTGCAAGGTTGGTTACTGTGGTGCAGTTGATTATATTATGATAATTAGACCAACAGATAGCAATTTGAGTTTCAGATTAAGACGGAGTTTAACTTTTCATGCTATTCCTGTTAAAAAGATAGTAAGTTCAGCTTCCTACCTGATTATAGACGGATTGAAGTCCTTGGGAATGTATGGTCAGAATCTTGCTTGGTGTCTGACTCTAAAAACATAACAAAGAACATACCACTTTATGCTTTGTGTTGCATTGTATATTGCATTCGTTGTTTCAGAATCTTCCTACAAACTTGTGAACATCACTGAAGAAGGAAATGAAGATTTTATGGAAGTGACCAGGGACGGCGTCCAGGCTTTACTCTGTGGCCCCAGCTACCCGTGGGCGGCAGCAGAACTGAGCAACTTGTATTGTCAAGAGGTCGGTTTCCAACATGGCGGACAGTCTTTGCCGGTCCTTGAGAGTGACGTTGAGGATGTTGACAAAGTATGGAGAGTGTTACTGTCGTGCGGTCAGGTAGCGACGAGGGTTAACGACTGTGTGGCATCTACCTGGAGTCTTGATAATGTTACAGAAGCAAGCCCTGAAGATTCTATGAAGAAAACTCGCCGTCTCCCTTCTTTTAGGGGGAATCTGACGAAAGGTTGGTAGTTAACGTAGGAGAAAAGAAAAAGGGGTGGGGGGGCTGTGTTGAAAAATTGGACCTGAAATAACTTGCTCTATTTTGAACTCTTACAGGATCATGAAGACTCACACTTTCTCTTTCAAAACAACGCATCCCACAGCCTCAATTATTTCTAAATGTTCACTTCAGAGTCTCAGTAATTTGGGTTTCTAATTGAAATAGACTCTGTCACCATTCTCTTTTAGGAGAGTGTATTTCATGGTCAGGTAGAAAAGAAGAACGATGGTTTTCGATATCCAAGTTTTGTTATCATTTCGATCCTTAGATTTGTCTATGGTATAATCGTCTTATCATAGAACAGAAACAGAGTTTGAATCTTTATATTCCTGTGATTTTGTTCTACAGAATGTCATAAATCCCTTCTTGAAAAACAAAGCTTGGTTTTGTAAATGTGGTATTCTATGGCGTGTCACCCTACTATATTTTCCTTACATAATATGCATTTGAGCTGTTTACTTGTTGCTGTTACATCTGCTCTGCTTATTTTTGTATGCGTACACACAAACACACACACACACGCACGTATATAAACACACACCCTCACTCTCTCACACACACACTCACACACACATATATACAAATTGTGTGTGAGTGTGAGTGTGTGTGCGTGTTTGTGTGTTTATGTATGTGTGTGTATGTTGTTATTAAATAGTCTTTTTCAAATTCTACCTTAATCAGATGAAGTGAGAGTTTGTCTGGTGAAAGTGGCTTGCTTTAAACCACAAGGTAAGTTTTAGTAGTCTTCGTAAACCTTGTCTTAGTAATCTTCTAATGCATTTAAAATGTAGGCATTGAGTAACGGATATTGTTCTGTTATTATTAACTGAGAGAGTTTGATCTTCTTAGATCCTAACCATGACGCATTTTGAATTATGAAGAAAGACGTTTCTGGACAGCAGAGCTGGTCATTCTGGCCGTGTGGAGAAGAACAGTAAATTTGAACTAGTAATGCATGTCTGGTTTGTTTGAACCCATTGCTCTAATTTTCTTTAAAAATTATGATAAGGTGAGTTACAATTGATTTTTTTGCTTTGTTTTTAAATTTTCCTATTAGGCTTCAATAGTCAGAAAAAAATTAATGATTAAATGATTTAGTATTAATTGGCTTCGTCTGAATAATAGTTGAGATCTTCATGGTTGGTTCATTTATAAGGGCTCTTTTGGTATTTGATTTCATAAACTCAATGATGTTCATATTAAGTTGTAAGACTACTGTGAAGTCATTTGACTGTATCCTTCTAATTATACGTTCAATTTATTTTTGTTTCTGTATGTTCAGTGACATTCCATGGAGGACTGGCAAACACTTCTGGTATAGTGATGATACCTAATCCCAACACGCTGTGGGAAAGGAGTGCTGTGTGTGCTGATGGTTTTACTGACAAAGAGGCTGGACTTGTATGCGACACGTTGGGATTTGGTGCTACTGGACAGGCCTATTCTTTTAATCCTTACCCTTTCACTGAGCAGTACCTGGACTCCAGTGATATGGCAATGAGATGCTCTAATGATGCTCTGAATGCTTCTGACTGTTTGGTCCCTCTAACTGGACGATGCAGATCATTTGCTGTGGCAAACTGCAACAGTGATGAGAAAAAAGGTACTCTTTGCGGGCTTTTTTTTATCTGAAAAAGGTTAAACAGTTTTAATATGGGTGCTCTTAAACTGTTTTCTGATGTTTTTCTTTCAATATTTCTTTTGAAACGTAGTGGCAGTAGAAGTGAAATGCTTGTGCTTAATCATTATTAATTTATTCATAAGTTGGTTTGCATGTCTTCTATCTTAAGAAGAATGGCAATTTCTTCCTTTGAAAATTAGATATTCATTGCCCGCAAAACTTATATCAAGATGCTAACATTGGTCGACATTGATCTTTTCAAACAGGTGTTTAATTTTGATTGGTGTTTTGGTATTCTTGTCTTTCTTCCTAATGTGTGTCAACATTATTCAAGATTACGGTAATTGTGTCCGTTTGTTGTTTAATTTTGTTTTACAGCCCCACGAACCGCTCTAAGCAATCTGTAATCTCAACAGTATTCAAACACTGTACTAATTTTGTTTTCCCAGTTCCCGAGCTAAGTACCAAACTGTTTTGGGATGGTCGAACTGTCCTTATCTACAAGAATAACATGTGGGGATCCATCTGCCCAACCATGGAGGAACCACTGTTAGGGGAGAGAGAAGCCACCATTATATGCAACGACCTCGGGTATGAGAGAGGAATAGCTCAAGGAGGACATCCTTCCTACTTTACCACAGTTCCGTACAATCAACTTTCGGTATTCTCCTACATCCCCCACGTCATTCGGGAGGTCAAGTGTGGAGACACAGCACAAACTCTCAGAGACTGCGAGTGGAAAAATGTTTCCGCTAACGATGGCTGCCAGAATGCTCGGCCAGCGGCTTTATTTTGTCACAATGCTTCTGACCGTAAGTGACCAAGGCTGGGGATGTGGACTACTAGGGATTTACTTGAGTTTTTTATTATAGTGTGTGTATGTGTGTGTTTTTGTCAAAGTTGATTAAATACGTTGATTAAATAATTCACTTGTCTTTAAAGGTAGAACATTTGACACCCCTTTCTTTACCACTGACCATTTTCAACTTCACAAAGACCTACCTCACATAGAAATATAAGCGTGCATATTATACATTCTGCCCAAGCTTGTTCACTTTCGTCTGTCTGCGGATAAAATTTTAAAACAAAGGAAATCACTGTGTTTAATTTTCTCAGGTCTTTGCATGCAAGTCTGAAAGTTGGATTACTAACAGAATCTAGAAGCCCATTGATGAAGGTCACTGCAAATTAAGGTTCTGACGCGTTTTCTCGGATGTTTACCTATAGCTGGTAACATTATAATTGGTTATAATTGGGGATTTATATTTATGGCGAACCCCTGAGCATTAACAGTTTAGCCTATCTATTTTCACCAACACCACACTTTTAAAGCTCACCTATGAAACACAGTCAAGTTGATAAGGTGAGTACTTTTCAAGACTCAGGTGGAGATGCCTAGACCTAGACCGTCTTGGGAGGAAATCTACCAGCTGACAGGGTCCAAATGAAAAAACCCAACAAATTACCGGATCATGATTTTCTGAGCACTATATTTTATTTTATTTGGTCTCTGGCCTAGAGAAAAGTCATAATTTGTAACTTGATGAATGATCTAGAATTTTGTAACACGTACAGACAAAAGTGAACAAGCTGGATCTATAGATAATATCAAGTTACAAGGCAAAATACAAACAGCAAGAGAGAGAGAGAGAGAGAGAGAGAGAGAGAGAGAGAGAGAGAGAGAGAGAGAGAGAGAGAGAGAGAAAGAGAGAGAGAGAGTGAGACTGACAGACAGACAGACAGACGGACAGACAGGTAGAGACGGAGAGAGATAGTTAGATTAATAGACAGACAAACATTCAGACATATATTTTTAAAAATAACGATGCCGAGAGAGTGAGTGAGAGAGAGAGAGTGTGAGAGAGAGAGAGAGAGAGAGAGAGAGAGAGAGAGAGAGAGAGAGACAGAGAGAGAGAGAGACAGAGACAGAGACAGAGAGAGAGAGAGAGACAGACAGACAGACAGACAGACACACAGACAGACACACACACAGACACACACACAGACACACAAAGACAGACAGACAGACAGACAGACAGACAGACAGACAGACAGACAGACAGACAGACAGACAGACAGACAGACAGACAGACACAGACAAACAGATACAGCAGACAGACAGAGAGATAGTAAGAAAGAGAGGAAGAGAAAATAAGTAATTGAGTATTATTCCCTCCAACCTTCCAACAGTGGCTCAGTATGAAATGAGTGGCGGAACTGAGCCTTTCTTTGGCACTGTCAAAGTCACCTTCAATGGGCAACAAGGTTATCTGGCCTTTGACCATCCCAGATTGAGTCCAGTACCTCAGATTGTGTGCAGGAGTCTTGGCTTTGCCAATGGACAAGCAGCTGACCCATCAGAGGTAAGGAAGGGTTATCTTAGTACCTTGAGTGAGAGTGTTTCGCCTTCATTTTCACCCGGCATTCCATTCTCTTGTATAGATATTGTAGTTTTTCATCCTTCTCAAAGCTTTGCCGTAATGTTACTTCTGTTTTATTGTGGTTATAAAGTGTTATACTTTTATAATGACTTTGGTCACAAAGTACTCACTTCAATTTTCTCCTTTTTTTCTCGATGAAGACTTTATTTTGTAGTTTTCTATTAGAACTAACCACTCTTTTGTTTTCTGTCTTCTGGTTAGCCGATGGTGTGCCTGTTTAAGTATATCTCCATATCTGCTTAGTTCTCAGCATAAATACTGTTTTTTCCCCCTTTGTATTTTTATGAGATTGTAGGCCCCGTAAATGGCAATGACACAATGTGCTGGACATCAAAATGTGTTCGAAGCTGTATGGATTTAAATTTGTCATAGCCGAGTGGTTTGGCTCTCGGACTCGCAACCGTAAGGTCGTGGGTTCGAATCCTGTCAGGGACCCGACGTTGTGTCCTTGGGAAAGGCACTTTACACGAGTTTTCCTCACTTCACCCAGCTGGGAATGGGTACCCAGCTATAGCCAGCGAAAGATCTTGTCAGTTTGTTAGTGTTTTAGCGCTTAAGCAGCTGCTTGCACTGTATGCTTCCCGGGAAGCTGAGAATATTTCTGAGTGTTCTATGGTCTGCTGCGGTAATAATATAGTGTAAAGCGCATAGAGCCTGCTGTTGAGCGGGGTTATGCGCTATACAAATGCTATTTATTATTTATTATTTATTATTATTATTAGACTACCTGCACTCAAAACCGCTTAAAAGCATTTCAATAATTCTGTAATCTTCTTTTTTTCTGACCAGGTGACCCTTGCTAATGTGAAGAAAATCTGGAAAATATCCGTTATGGAGGATGGATGCTCGGAGCTAGACATAGTAGAAACCTGTTTAGATAAACATTGGTCTCAATATCAGCTTCAAGAGTATGATGAAGAAAAGGATGAAAGTAAACTGGTCAAAGTCTTTTGCAATGGCGCTGGTAAGTAAACTGAGGACGGAATGATAGTATCGACTGTAGGTTTTCATAGTATTCTCAGATAACATAACTAGCGCTCGGAAATAATGTATGATGTCATCACACGAGTGCAGAGTTTGATAATATGAATTGGGCTGTGTGTTGGTTTGACCTGAATTTACTTTAATACAGTAACAGTCTATTTTGCATCGCTTTACTTTTTTTCTTGAGAACTCTATTTCAATGAACAATGGTTAGATCAATTAAGACGGACTGCAAGAATTTTGTTCCTTTACCTAACAATAACATGGAAGAAGTAACTATGCTTTGTTGCTTTCTTTCACTTTCCACTGGGCATACTTTTGTCACGTATCAGTTAATTTTGCATTGTTTGGGTGAATTCTTAGCAGATGACTAAGAAACATAATTGTTTTGAATGGCCTCCATATATCCTCTCTCCTCTTTACTCCCCTCCCCCAAAAAACTGAACCAAAATGAAACGACAGCAAAAACTCAGAATCCCACTCTCTTAAAGAAAACCCGCCCGTCTCATTGATGAAATACCCGTACTTAGGAGTCAGAAAGGATTATCTGTAGCATCCTTTCATACGAGGGCTGTGGATGGAACATTTTTCAGAACAAATTTTAATCTTTCTGGACTGTTCCAATTACTCTATGCTGATTTTATACTTTTGTCTTAATTCTAACAGTCAGCCTAGGAAGCGGCTACCATAACAGGTCAGGGCCCGTGCAGATAAACACTGACTATGGCCCGTGGGTTATGGCTCGGGGTGACATCACGCAGCTGGTGGGAGACATTGCTTGCAGGTAGGGAAGCATGCCCGTTTTTCACAGGCCCAGTTTGTCACAGGCTTAGATTGCGCCCTGCATGATGGAAGTTATCACTGACCCTCTCAAAAAGAGTAATTGAATGATTGATTGATTGTATAAATTGAATTTTATTTTTCAATTGGTTTTAACGAAAAAACATTCATTGTTGAAATTTCACAGAGTCATTTACTTTGATTTGCATACAAAAAGGAAGGAATATTGGAAAAAAAACAACTGAATTGACATTTTAGCGGGAATGTGTCTACACCACCAGTTTGACGGTGGAGAATAAAAAAATAATGTTACAACTATAGTGATAAAGTGCTGTAATTATGACTGTCATCAATACGCAAATACTGAAATGAAATTGTGACAAACTGGGCAGCCCCCGCAGGTAGAGTGAAATAAGGGACTTGATGGTTAACTTTGGTGTCAGTTTAAGATCTGACTACACACAAACAAATAACTTCAAAGATATAAAATAATTCATCTGTGGTTCGAGTAGAGTGGAAGAATAAATGAAACTAAAGAAATCGTACATTAGATTGGACTCTATTCTCAAAGTGGTCATTAGTAGTGAGCCACGTTGGGTTTGAAGTGTACAGAAAATAAAGCAAACAAGTGTTTTCTTGACTCTGCAGCTAGGGGAAATCAAGATTGAGGCACTATTAAGTTATACTTTTGAGACATGCTGAGGGAAAAGACAGAAAATGAAAATCCAGTTTGCAGAGTGTGTTTTATACTTCTGATAATGTCTTTCTTATTTTGACAGAACTTAACATGACCACTGTCTGCTTCATTATTATAACTCAAACTGTTCAGCAGTGGGAAAATGAAACCAGTTAGCATGGGAAACTGTGACAAGCAGCTAGTCTCAATTAAACTCTTAAACAAGTGAACATTTCACCATCAAAATTCAAACGTATTGAAAACACACTTTGTTTAAACATGTTTACTCATCAGCTCACCCTAGTCAAAATGTATCTATCTTATTAAAAGAAGATCTCCTTATGCGTATATTGATATTTTTATAGGTATTTAGATTCATTGACAGTTATATGACTGCCCCCCCCTGTTCTTCAGCTCAATCGAAAGGGGAAATTTTGTTTTTCTCAGCGTTCCAATGTTATTTCTATAATTACTTTGTTTTGTCGTGTTTTATCTTTGCAGAGAAATTTTTGGATCACATACATTCAAAAGTTTGATCGTACCTGAAGTGGTGTACAAGAAATATGCCAGATGCTCAGAGGTGACCTGTACCCAGTCAGACACCAGTCTCGCTGACTGTGTGGACATCAGGCAAGGAGAGGGCCACTGTGGAGACTCAGGGGGGATTTTGTGCTACGAAGGAAGTCCGCCAGCTGGTAATTTTTATATTGTTTGAATATAATGTGATCTGTTTCAAGAAAATACTTTTAATTATGATCTTTATTTGGAAAAACTATAGCGTAATTTCCCCTTTTCCAGAGTGTCTCTGGACTGTGAAGGCTCCCACATGTATTTGTTTTTTCCCATATGTACGGGTTGTGTAAATAAAGAGTTATTACACGCTTATCTAGGTTCATCTTCTGTCTAAAGAGTATAAAGAGTTCTGTTTAAAGAGTATATTCTGTAATATGTTATTTTCTTAGTTAAAAATCAGAAACTTTTCTTGACCACAACTATATAATAACATAACTCAGGCTGTAAATATTTTTGTTTCCTGCCTGCCTGTTGTTTTAAAATTTTCTTTTTTCTGGATTGTGGGTTAAATAATGTCAACTAAAAAGAAAGATTGTTTAGTCGTTTTTGATCACTTGTAAAATTCTTGCTCACTGAAAAACGCACTATTTACTTATATGACAAAAGTGATGCTTTTCAAGACATCTTAGACCCCTGTATTTCGACTTTACCCAGTGGTTGAAAACAATCCTCAAATTGTAGCATATTTCGATGAGGTATAACATTTCTAAAGCAAACAAATGGCCAGTCAGAGAGAAACTTGGCTCTAATCTTTTCATATTTGGAGTGCAACTACATGTAGCACCTTTTTAAAAATCTAATTAATGTTAGTGATTAACCCACATTTGACCCGAATATTGCTGTAGCCTTCAATAATTCAATTCCTTTATTTTGTCCTACAGCTCCTTCATCCAGTAACCAGTGGAGATTCAGTGATAAGCAGTTTTTGTGGCAGAACATTGAGGTCAAAGTGTTGGGAGAATGGTCGGTCGTTTGTGCTGATAACTGGACGGATACAGAAGCCATGGCATTCTGCAAGTATGTATTTGAGTAAATAATCATTATTTTGTTCGGTTGCTCGTTCGATTACTTGCTTGCTTGTCTTGTTTACTGGCTGGCTTGCTCGCTGGTTGGCGGGCTAGCTCGTACCCTGACTTGCGTCGTCAGAGGGAAATGAGCGCAGAAAAGGGTGAGATTTTTCTCTATGTCTTTCTGGCTGCCATGCCGTTGAGGCTCTTTCTTTCTGACAGACCAATCCAATAGTTGATTTTGTCGGACTAGCTTTTTCTCCCCCCCCCCCCCCCCCCCCCTCACTCTCTTTTGACTGCCTCCAACAGTGCCCTGTATGACGGTTTTTGTTAGCTCCCGGGTGTATAAAGGTTAATGGGAACAATAATAAATTCACAAAAAGAGGAGGGAGAGGCTAAACAGCGCCTAGGCTTGGATGGCTGGTGCCTCTACTAATAAATTAAATAATTAATGGTTTGGTCTGATCTGACGGCTTTTGCAAGACAATCATGCCGGATGTCCTGTCTGAACCAGGCGAGTCTCCTCGATTTTACTGCAGCTAGTTGTGGATCTTGTGGTCCAACTTTCGTTCCCGTTGTTGTCCGCACATCACCGTTTGTCCTCCGTTCTCGGTAAGAGATAGCTAGTAATGTTTTGAGCTTTTTTCATCGTAGACTTTGTGATCTCTTTTTCTGTTTCAGCCAGGTGTGTCTATGGTTCACAGACATAGAAAGATGGAAAGGATAAGGAATTTGCTTATTTTAAATTTGATTTGGAAGCATATATCGATGCTGTTCCAAATTTGGCTAAGTTTGGACTTGGCGATTTTTTGTTTTATCATTCTAGCCTTAATTTCATGAGACGACGTTCCTTCCTTTGCTATCAGTGAGTCAAGATATTTAAAATCGAGGACCTTTTCTAGTTTCCTATTGTTCGTGGTTATTTTGTTTGACTTCTTTTGGTGGTGCTGACGATGACTTTTGACTTTTCTGTGCTCGTATCTATTCCAAATGATGAATCACCGTTGTTCAGTTTGGTGGTTAGGCCGTGTGGTTCATCATTGGAATGTCCTCTTTCAAGCTTGCCTACATCGTACGTAGTCCCACAATGTTAATGCTTACCGTAAAATGAGCCTTAGCCAGGATTTATCAACATTTTCCTGAATTGTTTGGAGTCCTTTCATGGCTTCATATTCTTTTGGTTCCTTTTATCCTGAGACTGGAAAGCCCATTTGTCCTCTGTGTAATAGACTACTGATTCAGTTGACACAATAATGCTCTTGCATAGGGATGAGATATATTACGGTACAGATACGATAATAAGATGGAACCAAAACTGTATTTTTCTCTCCCTAATTATTTACCAGATAGGGCGTATTGTGTTATGGTTTGAGATAGTATTAATGACTGTGTATTGCATTAAAATGAATTGACATTTCTGCTTTATTTATCATCTTATTCTAATTTTCCCTCCCGCTCTGCCCTCATCTGGTTTAGTCTTTGTCAATTGCTTACAGTATTAGATTACGTGCACATCTTTTTTTCTCCCTATCTTACTTTAGAAAAATAGTACACAATTCTTCTTTAAACTAAAATTCTAGGGGATGCACTTTTTTTGGTTTTTGTTGCACACAGGTATCTAGATCCCAAAAACACCCAGGGCTTTGCTCTCAAAAAGGACAGAAAGTTCGAAAAAGGAATGTGGGTGAAGTCTGTGGACTGTGGGGGTCAAGGTGTTGAAAGTATCCAGGATTGTTCCTTAACAATATACACTTCGGATGACGAAAAGTGCTCCTCTGACCAAGAAGCCTATGCTGCCTGCTTTAAAGAAAATGAGGGTAAGATCGTTATGACAATCTGTGTCTCCAACTTCAGTAGTGTGTGTGTTGAATTTTTCTTGTACTATTCTGGTATTGGCATTTGTCTTGATTTGGAGGAAATAAATGTAACTGTTAAGTAACACTTATATTATGGGTATGCAAGGCTTATTTTTCAGTGTAACGTATAATGGTATTACGGTCATCTTATTGATTATAATTTTAAAATACCTTTGTATTCTATAAGATGAGATAAGATAACCATTTTAAAATCTCAAATAGAGAATTTTTATTTTTTTGTATGGTAAATACATACACGCACTGCACATGCTCTTGACAACACACACACACACACACACACACACACACACACACACACACACACACATGTCATACACATGTATAATATCAAAGAGAATAATATAATACTAGAGCTCGCGACAGTGACGTCACATGACATGTCAGTCATGTGGGCCTTCTTTTCCTTGATCGGTATGGCCAGTGCGCCCCCATTTACGTTAACGATCTGAGCCCCCACCCTGCTCCCACGAGCTCTAATAAAACATCGCTCTTCCCAACACGTCAGTGCAAGCTTTAGATTTTCTCTCAAGACGGTCGAGATGTCTTCACGTGAGTCTTGAAAAGTACTCACTCGTCTGATGGACTGCGCTCAGCGTCCCAGGGTGGGCACACGCAGCCCTTGTTCTTTTACGTGGGTGACATCACTACCACAAGCTCTAGTATAACCTCTTATTGACTGGGTATAAAATATAGTCTTTTAAGTCTTTACGCTTTTCCTTTCTTGTGAGTAATACTAAGTACAATAAAAAAAAAAGTAGGCAAAGCTATAAAAATAACAGTTTGTTTGTTTGTTTAGTATAGGGTTTTACGGCGCTCGCAACTGCATAAGGTCATATGAGCGCGCGGGACACACCTAATACTTTTTCGTTGGTAGGAAATTTTGAATTTTGTCCGGGTGGCGGCCGAAGCCTACTCTTATCGATTTTAGACCACCAAGGGATCTTTAACGTGCGCAACTTGCACACGGGCCCTCCGAGATTTTTGGCCCTTGTCCGAGAAGGCTAGGTGTAGATCTTTCCTACCAGAAGATCAGGGGTGTGGCAGAAAGACAGCAGTTAGGAGGAGCCAAGGAGTAGCAGTAGAAAGTGAGGGGGTGGGGGGCAGAAAGTGGAAATGAAAGCAGACAAAAGAACTCTGTTAGAGATCAGGAAAGGATGTGAAAGGAGACACTTTTAGAGAAGAAAATATTTTGGTCGCTACCCGGAATCGAACCCGGGACCTTTGAATGAGAGGCCAACACCTTAACCTCTAGGCCACGAGAGCCCCCAAATAACAGTTTGGTGCTTAGATTAGTGTTCACAGCACCAATTTTAAGAAATAGGAAGTTGGCCTTTACTCCGACCAATCAAGTTTTTACTCCTGTTGCTTCCATTTTTTTTTCTTTCCCTGTTCTTTTTACTTTCTTTCTTAATAAAAAAAAACCCCACAAATACAACATTATTTCTAACAATTAATGTCTGATATTCTACATAATTTATTGGGTGTTTGGTGTTGGCACTGATCTTCTTTCCTATGTTCGCTATATTATTGATGTTGTGAAGCACAGCGAAAGAGAGGAGAGAACTGTACAGCTTTCCATTTTATATAAATATATCTGCCCAAACTTAATTTCTGTTGTTTAGAAATGTTACAATCATAACATGGAATTCTGAGAGTAATTAAGCTTTCAAAGGTTGCTGTGTAAAAAGTTTCTATTTTTTTTTCAGTCCATTTCGAATGACCTTCATTTTTAAAAAAGCCTTTGCTGCATAATTATATTGTTATTTATTTCTCAAATAACTGATGACATATTAAAAGCATCTGATTAAGTTCTATCTTATTTGTCCAAGACATTAGTTGCATTCCCTTCTGAATATTGTGAATAGTCAACGAAAAACGCTGTGGGAAAAATACAGTATATTAAAAATTCTTGAAGAAATCCAAGGAGTAAACCTATGGTTCCCACAGTCTGTGAAAAATATTCACAAAACACTGGAAGCTGTTTTTAGTTTGTTTTGTGACAGTGAGAATTAATTCAAAGTATGCAGCTCTTAGCCAAGATATTGGACAAAAACAAAAAATACTTTTTGTTTTTTTTTAAAGTTTGTATAGTAGCTTTTGCGATGGAAACTTTTCCTTTAGACTGATGGTATCATGATCTCTTTACAAATGTTATATGTTATGGTTTGGTAAGTTGTTCATGCTAAAAACACTAGGTATTATGAGAGAACTAAAAGCAATATTTGTTTCTGAACTGTTCAAGGGGCGGGTCAATTTAGCAGAAACATGTTGTTACAGTTCATCCTGTTGAAATGATATATCTGTTTCTTTCCTTCTAATCCCGGGTCTTAATAAATAGTGCCCGAGCTTGGCATGGATGTGAAGACGTCCAGTTTGCAATATGACGCTGGCTACATCACCGTGACCAGGCTGGACAAAGAAGGATATTTCTGCCCCAAATTTCACTACAGTGACTATGAGGCAAACAAGTTATGCAGTATTTTGCCAGGAAACTTTACTGGTGGAGTGGTAAGAAATAAAGATTGGTCACACGGCAGCATGGTGAAAAAATGTAAGGCGTAATTGTGTTTTTGCAAACAAATCGATCTAAATTTTTAAAATCACAACCAAAACACGTTTTAATTTTTATTTATTTTGAGCCTATTTTGATGTTTTTGTCTTTCTAAGAAATGGGGCCTTGAAGAGAGTGATTACATTAAAGAAGGTTCTTACAATGAAGATGGTGAGATCCATAATGACAATAATGATATCAGAACGAAAACAATCAACGGTCACTTTTGGCATGCTTTGAATTGACATTTTATTCATCAAAATAATATAGTTGACATTTGTGTTGACCTTATTTCGGTTTTCTTCATGTTCTCAATTTCCACATTTCATTTCCCATGTCTGGTCTGTCTGTCAATCTGTCGCCTTTTCTCCCTCCCTCCCTATATATATATATATATATATATATATATATATATATATATATATATATATATATATATATATATATCTCTTTCGCTCTCTCTCTCTCGGTGTTTGTTGTGTTTAAGATAGTCACTGCAAACCAAATTCTCGTAGAAGAGAATTTCCCGTAGAAGAAAAAAATGACTCTAAAATGGCAACCCTAAAAAAACGACATACATGTTCAAAGTATTGATATGTGTCTTGCGAGTGGTTTGACAGAATATTCAGCCCAGTATATTCCTGTACAACATTGTATTCTATCAATTTTAATAGTAACAGCTGCGGGTTATTCTGAGAACATCTGTATATTCACAGGTTCTGGATAAAGCCCTGCTGTCTCGGCCGGATCAGTTCTCATCCTTGTGGGCGGGTAGTTTGTTGTGCCCTCACGAGCCCCTTCAGATAAGGACCTGTGAACAAGACTGGATGAACCAAAATATGTGAGTTATTCATCTTCAGTTTTATATTAGTCCATATTTCTAGTATGCACTAGTTTCCAGTGGTTAGGGTTTTTGTTTTTGTTTTGTTTGTTTGTTTGTTGTTTTTAAAAATCTTAAGTAATTCTGAAATCAGCTGTTCAGATTTATTGAATTTTTGTCGCAAAATATCTAAACTTTAAAGAACACACACACACACACACACACACACACACACACACACACACACACACACACGCACACATACACACACATATATATGTGAGGCAGCGTGGTGGAATCAGGCTCTCGTCCAAATAATCAAAATGAAGAAACTTGCATTTTTCCGCAGGTTTATAAATTTTTATTAAATTTTTGTTTTTTTGGCTCAACACCTTTCATACACATTAAAAAACTAATTTATGTGTGGATTTTTCGGAAAAACGTTGATTAAAGGCACAGAAAATGTAAATTTTCAGTTACCACGGACTCATAAGCTAAGGAAATAACTAACCTTTGGCGGCCATTTTCTCACTAATATTACCTCTGAAAACAGGTGACCCCAACATCCTTCTTTCGTTAACATCTCGACTTGTATTCAAGATGAATGGATACTTTTTTATCCAAATAAAGACAAGTGAACAAGCTTTAAGAGGATACCAATAACTCTACATGCCCAAAAATTGACGAGAGCCTGATTCCACCACGCTGCCTCACACAGTCAAACCTGCCCTGACTGCCACCTCTATAAGACGGCCACCTGTGCAAACAGCCACTTTCCATTTACCCCCTTGCGTTTTTTCTATATAATTTAACCGTGTAAAACGGACACCTGTCCAACGCGGCCGCGGCCACCAGATTTTAACACACAATCCATATCACACTAAGCAATAACCCCTGTCTTAGACGGCCACCTCAGAAGCTCCAGTACGTTTTGTCATAAATTGTGCATTGACCCCTGGCGTTGTGGGCGAGCCGTCATAATCTAATCACCTGTCGTTGTTGTTAGGTAGTCCCTCCAACCGATCATGTTGCGTAGGCCCCTCCCATTGTTGACCAATAGCTACCACTTTTCAGCTGCTGGTGAGGTAAGCGTGTGATCCCTCAAAACCCATAAGCCCCGCCCAGAACTCATACACTAATCGTAAGTGAGATGAGTGGTCACTCCAGTCTGTAACAAAGAAACAAAGGACGTCAACATGAACTTGTGACAGAAGCGTCGCTCGTTCTCCGAGTGGTGGCGACCCATATGTTTGTTTTATCATGGCACTCGGTCTTCCTCGTCTGATACATTTCGTTTTATTGTCACCCTTGCGCAAAATCAGGAACAAAATACAAATTACGAACAAAATACAAACCACCACCACTAACAACAAAAAACAGCAACAATGCGGCTACTTTTGATTGGGACCTCAGATGGGAATGGTTCATTTTCTTTATCTGGATCAGTCCTGCCTAAGACGACAACCTGTCTTATACGGCCACTTTTCTCCTTGACAATGGGTGGCCGTCTTACACAGGTTTGACTGTATATATATATATATATATATATATATATATATATATATATATATATATATGTATGTATATTTAAGACCATTAAAAATGTAACACCTCGTTTGTAGTGTTTGTACACGTCTTGTCAAATGAAGATAGATTAAAAGAAGTGTTTATTGAAGTGTATTCATTTTCCAACCCATGTGGACCATTTTAATCACATTCAATACAATGTCTTTCTTCTCTCGGAGAACCACCTTTAGACAAATTTACGGATAAACACTAATCGAAACTAAATAAAGTTCTCTCACCCAAAAGTAAATTGTATGGCCATCTCTACAGACCGACACACGTCTTTACATGGAATTTATCACATTTTCAACCTTTTGTTAAGAAATTCTGTTCCACTTTTGCATTTTGCCTCAGGGCGACCTCCAATTGCTGCAGATTGACAAAACCACCTCTTGCACTCATTTTGCGATTTAGCATAATATTATTATGTGCACGGCTAGTGATATGTCCGGTGCGAACACTAACCAGTCCATGACATCCATGTTGTGATCTTCCAGAAACCTAGCAAAGTGCTAAAAGTGGGATACTTGCTTGGTGTATTTACTGAACACTTACGTCATTTCGATACCATAATGTGCTTGCGTTTCTTTCGTAATGCCTAGATGTAGCCAAATGCTGCAGTGTTGTTTGTCACAAACTTGACTCCCGCGCAAAAGTTTGAAGGTCGCCACAAACCAGTAGAAGTCTGGTTTTTTTTACCCACTTGGAAACTTTCCTAACAGCCAGAGTTGCTCAAGGAGACCAAGCAAATAGTCCAACTTAAAACAGGCCCTTTTCCGTTTCCAATATAAAAAGTCCCCAAAACAACCAACAACAACAAAAATGTTTTTGCGAAGAATAGACACATAATGCTGTGATGCTTAAAGTTTTTGTTCACGACAGTACACACGCGATGTGATATAATTGACAGCATGTTGGTTATAAATTATCCACCTATAAGGTGAGAAGAAAATATGAGATATTTTAAAATTAAAATACTATTTCTTTTCCCAGGACGGACCACAGTGTATCCCCTAGTCCGTCAAGCTGCATCGAACCGGTTGCCTGCTTCAAACTGAATGGTACGTCTTCAGTTGCTTATTTTGTACGGCTCAGATTCATTTTTCATCAGCTTTGATGCCCTTGTTTTAAAAAAAAATTGATCTAAGTCTTTGAGGGGCTGAATCAGTACATCATGTTTTGAACTTGGCCAGTCTCAATAATGTTATTTCTCGTCTTACCTGTGTGGGTCATGGATATATTTTATGTATTGTACACAGTGCCTTTGTCGCTCAAGTTCAGAACGTTACATTCTTACTGCATACTCGAAGAGAAACACTGATCAATGGTTTTAAGTCATCATCATCATCCGGTGCCTTGCCGACTGGCGTGGGCGATCACGGACCTCCACTTCCATCTGTCTTTCGAAGCAGCAATGGCGTCTGTTGTTCTTGCTGCTCCCAGCCATGTTATCATCTTGTCCAGTATCTTTTCCCTCTGTCTGCCTCTACCTCTCTTTCCATCAAACTTTCCGGTTTTAAGTAAGAGTATCAATAACTTTGATTAATGCTTTTGAACTGTAGGAAGTGATAATTTATCATTCAAACACATTTAAAAAACCCAAATGTCTTCACCGTATAAGTGGCTAGCCTTCGTTGTGCAGTTTGTTTGAACTTCTGTCAAAACTGAAAAGTTTGAATTTTGACTCAGTGTAGGTTCTTAACATTTTTCTTCTTTCATGGCACATTTCCGTTCAGTACAGTGTCTTGTTGGGCGGGAAAATAGTATTTCTTTAGTGGACCAGCAAAGAACGAAAACAGTGATGTAAACTACCCCAAATATCTTGGAAGTGTTTTCTTTTCCCTTTCGTTTCAGTTCGCTTGCACACGCCCCTGCAGAACAGTGGAGTTCTCCTTGTGTATGATGGGCAGCGATGGGTCAGCGTTTGTACTGACAACTTTATTCCCAGCTATGGCGGGAAACTCTGCCAACAGATGGGCTTTGGCTGTGGTAGAATGTCCCCGGGGACCACGCTAGGTTACAGTTTCTTTACAGCTCAGTTTATCTGTTCCCGAACGCCAGATGGAGGCTGCACGTTTGTACGGCGAAATCCCCCCTATCCAAAATGTAAAGAGCACATTCTATTAAACTGCTCTAACGAATGTGATAATGAATCAACGAATTGAATGTATGTTCGATCTATGGCAATGGTATAAAAACAACTTTTCCTCCCCTCAGTCACTTTTACAGAGTTTCCTCATTTATGTGATTTATCATAAAATCAATTTCGCCCTTTAATATATTTTAAGGACTTTCATTTATCTTTTTCATTCTTTTCTTTCCTACAGTGGTTTTGTTCACACAAAGGTAATCCTGCACCTGAAAAGATGTATTGACCTGAGGAATTTTTATCAATATGCCAATTTTTCAATGATTTTCTAATTGGAAATATGCTTTGATTGGTACAGATTTATTGTTCATAGCTTATTCTTGGAAATACTTTGAAATTGTACAAATAAGAAAGAGCACATGACTGATACAGTTTAGTACTTGGCTATGCACTTCTTTCTCAATTGATTAAGAAAGTAGTTAAAAGCTGGAAATATTATTTCTGGCACTTTCTGAGTATGGCATGTTATTTATTTTAATGGTTTGACCACATTCCTGAATTGCTTGATTTTGACTTGTTGTGTCTGTCATGATTTGGCAATTTTTGTGTGAACTGATATGTTGCTGCTATTTGTCATGTCTCATCACACTTCCTTTGTCTGTGGTCCGTTTCTGGAGCTCACAATTCACATGAATGTCATGACAAACTCATAGACAATAGCAGGGGATTCCACAATGATAATAATCACAGCAGATGTATAATGTTATATTTCTTTAAAGCTAAATACCCCTCTCGATAATCTCTGCAGTAAACTAGTCATCCCTTCTTTCCAATAGACTCTTTTCCCTTGTCTCTCTTTTTTGACTCTCTCAATATTTCCTCCCTTCTGTCTCCCATAGTGTTCATGAACAACACACAAATGAAATTTGTTGAACTAATTGCACATGACTAATCATGGCGTCAAATAATTCACCAGTCTGTCTCGTGCCTGAATACCCAAAGCCTTGAGTTTCCACTAAATGTATACTTCAATTCCCCATTCTTAAATGTCGCAAAGATGTCTGTCGCGCATACTAACACGACGTCCACCCAGAATGGCCACACACAGAGTTGAGACCCTGGATGTGCATAAGTTCTGAATGGATGTCAAAAGTTTACTTTATCAGAGTTTCCTAAACCCTGCTATATTTCTTTTTGTCTTGGAATTATAAGCTCTTGTACAGGCAGGATGCCACGAAAGTCGTGCACAATTCTAGTTTTTTAAAAAAATCATCTTGTGATGATATCAATATAATAAATGTTGAAATTAAGTTCAATCGGCAGCAAAACAAGTATCTACTCTCTCAAGAACGATGTCTTTTACACGCCTGAATGTTTCAGGGGTGATCTTTTTTCACTCTCTATTTATTGCAGCCTTCAAAATATCAGTTTTCGTATTTAAAAGTTTTCAGAATGGTGTTCAACTTTTGGGACTCCCTGTATATTCATACAGCTAATTCGGCTTTTCCTTATAATTATGTACACTATTACAACATGCTTCGCCTCTTTATAATGAAAACCTATTGTGGAGTGTAGTTTTGGGGAGGTTTTTTTAGCCTTTCATGTTATAACCTATATACTCTATTGTACTTTCTGCTGTATCCTACTTTTTATGTTGCTCTGCTTTTAAACAAAAAACTTACTTTAAGATTTTTATAAGCACTTTAGGACAGATCTGGCTTTAGTTTTTTAAAACCATGATAAAATTGTCCACTGCATTTTTGCACATTTTCTAAAACTATGTTGGTTTACAATAAAATACTCTGTTTTATGCAATTGATTTTTTGTTGCTTTTGCTGTTTTTATTTCTTTGTTTTTTAGAATAGTCAATGATCTTAAGAACGTTATTGTTCAACAACAACAACAACAACAACAACAACAACAACAACAAACAACAACAACAACAACAATAACAACAACAAAAGATAGGTTTTTCATAGTTACACTTATTGTATGTTTGTGGTTGTAAGTTTGTGTCTCATGAAATATATTGCTAAGCTGAGAGAGAGAGAGAGAGAGAGAGAGAGAGAGAGAGAGAGAGAGAGAGAGAGAGAGAGAGAGAGAGAGAGAGAGACTTGAAACTCCTCAAAATAATCCATGTGCAACAACGACTTGCTCAAATGGGATTCAGACCACGGCCATTTGCACCACCTCCCAGCGTGGTACCAACCGAGCTAAGTGTGCATGTGTGTAGCTCACATATATATAGTGCGCACACGTATGTGTGCGTGTGCGCGCGCGTGCACTGCGTGTGTGTGCGTGTGTGTAGTGTGTGTGTGTGAACCTTTCGCACCATTTGATTTTTATTTCGGAAGGGAGGGGGGTCCCTTGAGCAAACATCATCTTTATAAGAGCCACTACAAAGCACACAAGGTATCAGACTTGTCCAATGTCTCAAGCGAGTCACGAGGCAAGCGATCGCTGTACCTCTCTGAAATATAGACTTCAACATAAGTTAAGGACCACTCGCAAACACTACGAGTGGTCTTCTTGGGTCGACCTGCACGTAGGCTTTCTTGGACTGATCCAGTGGCTTGATGGCGCTGTCTCAAGCAGACAATGATATAGTCTGACACTGCAAGCCTTCTGACATGTTCTAGGTCTCCAACTCCATCCTGCAGTCATGCCATAGCTCTGGCACGATCAAAGCCTCTCAGCTTTCGCCTTGGTGGCATGTTGATGCGATACTGGATTTTGCGCAAACGGCGGCTTATATTGCCGCCAAAGTGAGCTGAGTTCGAGACTGTGCATCCGTTTATGACGTGCACCAGAAATTTTAACTGATGAATGTCCGTGGTATCGCACACAAGTCGATAAAAAACAGTAAATTTTGCTTAAATTCCCCGAGGATTTCCGTGTTGCACTGTTGTTTTTGCCCCTTTAGGAAGCGTTGCAGTACGCATAGGTAACCCATTCACACTCTCAGAGCAACACATTTTGAAACATTCCTTGCTGTCTTTATTTTTCGGATTTAAAAAAAATCAAGGCTGTCTGTCAAGGTGGTCCTTAACTTATGTTGAAGTCTGTAGGAGCGCAACCTCCACATCTACTGCAACAATATGTTACATTATGTTAACCTTACAATTCTGCGTTCATTTTCTGTGTACGAGCATAATGTTTTGTACTATTGTATGACATCAGAACATTCTGCGTTCATCTACTGAGTGCTAGTCGTAGCATGGGCTTGTTTTTGGATACCCCCCGAATTGTTGTTACGATCTTTTCTCCCGCTAGATGATACAACATTACCGATTTATCACCCGGAGCCATGTCGATAGAGTGAGGGAGCAGACTTGCCTTTTACCTTTACGTGAAAGGACTTCACGGGGTAGGAGTGGGTG